AAAAACACAAAAGAGCGAAAACTAAAACTTGAATAGGCCAGAATAACACTGAGGCTAACAACAACAAAATACAATAACAACAGGTAACACCAAATCAAGAAATGATGAGAATAATGACGAACTACAAAGACCGGCTGACTGTCTGATTAAATGGCAGACAAACGAACAGACAGACAGACAGACTGTCTTTTGATTGACAATATTTATGTCTGTCTGAGGTTAAATCGCCAACAAAGTAAACAAAACTAAAACCCCCAACCACCAAATGCGATCGTCGCCGTCACAGCGAGGTGTAATAAAAATCGCCTTCAGCCAAACATCTTCGATGAGTGGGCACAACGTCAACCACAGAGGCTACTCACATGGATGCAACACCACACGAATAGATGGGTTACAGGTGCATTTTCGTTGACCACCGAACAAAGCCACAGCCAATTGTCCAATAACTTATTACCAGTCATCCTAATCATGAAACAAACAAACAAACAAACAGACAAACAAAAAAGCCATTGACAAGTGCCAGCTTGTGGTTGTGTATTTTTCTTAAATGGTATCAATTAAATTTTAGAAAAATAATAAACTTTTTTCTATCGCCATGACCATTTGCAATGCAAGTACTTGAGTTTGGGATTTGATTTATCTCTTTGTTGGATATAAGTTCGATTAAAGGTTACATTTTCTATAAAAGGGATTGAGTACAAAATGTGTCAGGTGACAAAGAATTTTGAAAATATCATAGAAATTCCAAAAATAAGAATTAAAAGTTTTGTTTTAGCCCTCCACCGCACTTTAAAATTTCATATCTATAGGAGATTTATAAAAAAAAAATATTTAATGCATAGAAACTCTAGGCGAAGACCTGGAAATATCTTGTAGTTGGGGTTTATAGGGACACATAAGAGGATTTCTCTTTATTGAGGGCGTGTAGATGGTCTTGTTTCATAGAAGACCTTTGGAACATTTTCAATATGAGCCAATCATAAATATCTGAGCGGAATTTTATTCCCACACAAAACATTTAATAATTTTTTCTCCAAAGACCATTCCTCGAATCATGAATAATTGAGGAGAAATAATTTGTGAGGTTGGCAACGCTAATGGGTCTTTTATGTACCTTGTGTAACCTATTTCTTGTGAAACTGGTGCAAATTTTGGATGCTTTGGTTAAAAACATGTAAAAAAGCTGTAAGTTCAGTCGGGCCTAACTTTTAATACCCCCCATCATTTGGAACGAATTTGGCAATTTTCAAATAAAATAAAATCTGTTAAAAATTCTGCTAAAATCTTTAAAATGCCGAATGTAGCCATTATATTAGGGTCTATACGACGACGTGGACCTGCATAGGCAACATTTGTCAAATACGAAACTTGAAAAAATCAATGAATAATTTAAAAATACCGAATATAGGGGGGGAGGGGGTGGGTACTATTATATGGGGGTTACACCAAAACCTGACAATTTTCTGTCGTAGGCTGTAATATCCATTACGAACTCTAAATACCAAATTTAAATCAATATCGGTGAATAATGTCGCTAAAATCAGCAAAATACCGAATATCGGGAGGTACCGTATGGGAGCTATACGAAGACGTGGACCTGCACTGACAATTTTCTGTCATAGGTTGTAGTATAGTACAAATCACGAAAATACCGAAAATAGGGTAGATGGCAAGATTTAAGCAAATCTGAAGCTGAAAATTAAGACCTATTTAAGGATTTTTTCAAACAAGAGTGACTCAGGAGTGTACACCAAACAAAACAAAAGAGTGAAGTGTAGACTCCGCAAAAATCTCACACGCTTCCAACAATCCTGCTCGTGAGCAAGTTTCGCTCTGTGCTCTGGTAAAACCTACTAATTTTGTGGTCAAAAAGTAGCTTTCTTGTCCGATCGTATGTATGCCTACAATCATGCTTTGAATTTTAAATGTCTTTTGTCAGATGATCTTTCCGTACAGGGACGGATTATCTGAAAAAGGTGGGGGTAGATAACTCTGTAAGGTCTTTTGTGTTCAGAAGAAAATTATGGTCAATTAGATGTCTTTGCCTAACAGAAGGCTTTGAGAAAGTCTTCTATGTTTTAGAAAATATTTAGAATTGTACCTAAGGAAGTCCTCCGAGCGGCCTTATGTATATCAAGCTCTTAACGAAGGCTAAACCTTCGTATAAATCTCTTCTAACAAAAGTCTTAAATCTGGGTGGCGGCCTTTACACCACAGAACTGCCAAAACCCGGACATTGCATATTTTTTTCGAAGATGTCTTAATAATTACAGTCACTTCGGCTGGAAAATATGTCTAGAACTTTTCGAATTTTTGTTTAATATTTTGTTGTTGCAAAATGGTCAGGCTTATCCCTTTATTGTTGTTTTTATAAAAACAACGTTTGTTTATTAGTGGAGAACGATGGTAATGTTTACCAGGGGGTAAGGCAGGGAATACCTAGGTTTCGGAAAGAGCCACCAATCCTCATCAGTTCCCTTGTTTTTGTCTGGGATATTCTCCCCAGAAGTTATTTTAAAAATAACTTCTGTAAAACTATTTATCATCCATCAAAAGCCAAAATTTCAAATTAGAGTATTTATTTTTGCAAATCGAATCTAAAACCTCCAATATACTGAACATCGGGATGCTGCTTCAAAAAGAGGATGTATCAGATATTTATGATATTTATTATGGGTCTAAAACCTCTAAAATTCCTAAAATCGGAAGATACAGTTATTAGAGCCTATATCAAATAGTGAATCTCTTATACACATTGAGAGTCCGAAGTGTCAAATTTCAGCTCAATCAGTTGGATATTCTAGTTCAAACATCGTAAAAAGCCTGAATCTGGTGCTAACGTCATATTGAAGCTATAAGCCAGAGTTAACCGATAAATAACTTTTTCCAATGGCCAACAACGTTGATTTCAAACAAGTAAAAAACATTAAGTTCGTCCGGGCCGAACTTTTAATATCCTCCACCTTAGGGTAAAGGAAACATTAGAACCCATTATGACCCACAAATACCAATATTTAGACATAATCGTGGGAAAATGTGGCAAAAATAATCAAAAAACCGAATATCTAGAGGTACCGTTATATGGGTACTATACCAAAACGTTGACCTATACATCTCATTTTCAATACCAATCATCCCAGACAAATAATATGGGCCGTATCGTGATTTCAACAGCCAGACGGACAGACAGACGAACATCGTTAAATCGACTTAGAATTTTATGCTGATTATGAATATATATATACTTTATGAGATCTACGACAAAGAATGACAAAGTTAATATACCCTTCTTTCCAAGGAGGATGGTATAAAAACAGATCAACTGACCGATAAATAAATCGACTTATATTATGTTTAAAATAATTTTGTCAGGCTTAACCTCCTTTATGAGGATTTGTTTGGCGTATGAAGTTAGAATTTTAAATCCAATGAGTTTATCAAATCTTGTGCCAATCAGAAATATTTGTGGTTAAAGTGGCCGCAGACGAATACACCTTCCATTTTTTTAGTGAAGGATATCATAAAATTTAATGGGTGGATTTGTAAATATGGCTCTTTCGTCTTTTAATTTTAAAATCTAAAAAAGAGGCCAATTTTTAAACAATTTTCAAGGTTGATAAGCTATTGGCCGTTTTTTTTTCGATCATAAAAAAACTATCAACTTTAAAAAAGTTCACACCTTAGACGAACTAAAAAATTAATAAATAATATTTTAATGACCATATAAAATAATATGATTGCTCCACCAATGATGCATTTGCATATGAAAATAAATTTGGCTCCGATGGTGGCGATGTGTGAAGATTCTCTTCAAACCAAATGTCTCTTCTTCTTCATTTGATCAAAAAAAAAAGAAAGAAAAAAAGTGTCAAAAATTGTGGCACACTTTTATGGCTAACAACAAAAAATGGAACGAAACAAACAAATCTACAAAAATGATAAGAAAACAACAACAACTACGACGACGACAACGTTTCAGAAAAAAAACAACAACACACATAAATTGTTGAGGATTTATTTAAAATCAAGGTCGTCTTATAAAACCAACTAGTTTTATTTCTTTTTTTTTTTTGGTTTTTTATTTCGATTATTATTTGATGATGACAAACATGTTGGCAGTTTTGATTGTTGTTGTTGCTGCTGCTGCTGTGGTTATTGGTGTGGTGGTAATGGCTGATGATGATGATGCTGCTGCTGCTGCTGCCACCATCCCTGATGATATCAATTATGATGCTATTGATTGTATTAAGCTTTTTTTAAGATTTATTTTATTTAATTGTTTTCTTATTAGAACCTTATTTATGTGGAGCAATTAGAGGAGATTAATGTTTATTTTTTACCTCCCATGGAAGATCTATAAATGGCTGGAAAATATTACCTATTCTGTTCCTTATTATTTCATTGCTAGTTTATGGTGGGCCATTACACATTTACGTGGCGCGCTGTTGTTGCCGTTAACGAGTTTAGCAGCAACAACCCACAACAATAACAACAATAGCGACCACGGCTACGAAGAAGAAGAAGAAGCACACAAAAATGCCACCTCATTTAATTGGTTTTTGGCTTGTCTCTCTCACATTACAAGTGTGATCAATGTTTTCTGCTACCAAAAACCACAAAGCTTTGGTGGCTGGGCATTGATTGCACAAAGAAGAAATTATAAAACAAAAGACTTAAGAGACAAACTTTATGGGAATTACTTAATCGCCAACGTCAACGTCGTCGTCGACGCCAACTCCAACACACCAACAAAACTCACCACAAAAGTGGTTTTGCGGTTGTTTGTCTCACCTGTGCCTTTGTATGGGTGTGAGCAAATCTCAGGGGCTCAATGCCCCTACTTTTGAGCCCCAACTCACCTCTATGCGTTGTGTTAGCCAAGAGAGCCGCCCATAGATCACCACTTTTTACCCCCTCACCCGCAAGGCTTGCATTTGATTATAAAACCCTGCTGACGTGCGCAAGGCGCTCTCTCGTGTTCTGAGGCACGTCGCGTTATGTAGTTTTTTGTGAAACCGAACCAACAAGTGTCGTTCTGCTTCTTCAAGCGAAAAACCCATTAAACAATTTTTATAACCTTATCAAATCCGAATTTGAATAAAGCCATAAAATCGGGCTGCGAACAACAAAAAACAAGCTGCCCATGTTATTTCGGTTAAATTTGCATTTTTCTAACGCAACATAAGTCCGAGACAGAAACTGGCTGCAACCTCCCTCTCCGTCTCCTCATCCATCTCCTCAGCGATCTCCAACGAAACCGAGGCGGACAAACAACTTCAATTGCCAGCATTCGTTGTGTGTTGCGCGTGCTCTTTTCGTACTCTCTCGCTTACTCTTGCGTTGAGCAAGTCGCCAAAGCTTTTCGACTCGTATTCCCACCACCACCATCGCCACCGTCCATCTGTGTGTTCGTGTGTGTGAACGCTGCCGCCAAGTATTTCACCTCAACACTATTGTTGTATTGTGCTTTAGCTGGTGTTTTTGCATACGACTCCGACTTTTTGTAATAAAAGAAGAAGAAAATCGGTTTTGGCTCTTTAACTTTTAAAAGAAGTTCGAGAAATTTTACTGTGCTGCGTTTGAAAGTGTCAGTGTAAATGAAACATTGATACCGATCGGAAGGACAAATTGCAGCTGGTGCGCTTGTGCTGAAGATCATTGTTTCTTTATTCCACTAATAAGAAATTTTGATATTTTTTAAGAAAAAATCAAAATAGAAAAAATAATTACATATAAGTTATAGTGCAAATATATATTTCAATAAATATATATACAGTTCAAGTGTTAACTTAGACCAAAAAACCAAACAAAAAACCCCAGATTTAAGAAAATCAACATTCCACACAAAATGGCAAAACTTTTTGTGGTTTTTGCCGTTTTAGCCGTTGCTGTTACAGCTGGTAAGTAAAGTGTTGTAATTTTGTATTTTTTTTATAAAAAAAAATTATATTAAAAAATAGACATTTTTGGATATTTGTAGAGAAAAAATGTAAAAATTATATAAGTCCTAAAATTTGTAAGCAATATGCAAACCTGTTTGTTATTTCTTTTAATATGGCTATTTATTTCGCAAGAAATTACAATCTGGCAATTGTGAGGCAAGTTTGAGGTACTTTTTTCCTGAGGTTAGTTACACAAATTTCACGCTAAATTTAAAGTGATGGAAATTTTTGAGGTGAAAAATCGATATTCTTATAGAAAAATAATTCACAAAGTAATTTCATTTTGTCTTAAAATATAATCAAGTGCTGAAATATGAAATAAAGGGGAATTCATTCCATTTATTTTTATATTTAAAAAATGTTAAAATAAAAATCTAAATTTTCATAAAAAAATGGCCAAAATAAGTCAAATTTTTAAAAATATATACTTGATAAAATATATTTAGAGGAATCATTTATTTATATAGCAAAAAAATAAATTTATAAAATTTATTTAAATTTATAAAATTTATTTTTCAATGAAAAATTAGGGACATTTTAGTTTATAATGGTAAAAACTATTATATGAAGATTTCTAGAAAAATTTTAAAAAGATTGAAAATTAATTTTTAATTTCTTGTGAAAAAAGGAAAGACGTCACTAAAATTTTTTAGCGCCACCTAATGCAGATTTCCTATTTTAAGAACAAGGTTTTTCAAAGGATCAAACGTTTTTTCAAAGGAAATACTGATTTTTTATAAAAACATTCGACATTTGGATAAGAAAAGTCTTAACAAACATATTGAAATAAATATAGAAGCCCATTAGAAATATTCGGGTCATCATATTCCATTTTGGAGCCAGGAAAGGGCTTTTAAAAAATCAACAAATTTTTCCCCAAAATTTCCGCAAAAAAATACTTGACTAGCAAGCCTTCTTGAGGAGCTGCGACCCCAAACATCTGTTGCTAGATAAGGTTACAATGTCAAAGCGAATGTACGTTTTCAAGTCCCCCATTCGAGTGGTAACACCAAACCCAAACAATTCCTTGATATGGCGTATACCAGGCCTAAAGGACTCGGAGAGGTATGCCATACATGACAATCCCTAACATCTAAGTCTTCTGGCTCCAAATTATTGATTCCAATTGCTATTCTTTCAATTAAAAGAAATATAACACTTTCAGCGCAATTGACATTTTTTGTGGGAACGCTTTTTGTTTATGATTGAACTTTTCACAATCTCTCTTTCAATTCATTCCTTGATATTGCGTATATCAGGCCTAAAAGACTCGTAGAGGTATGCCATCCACGACAATCCATTTCATTTACATCTTCTGGTTCCAAATTGTTGATTCCAATTGCTATACTTTTAATTAAAAGAAATATAACAATTGGTATTTTTTTGTGGGAACGCATTTTGTTGAAGGTTGTACTTTTTACAATCCCTCTTTCAATTAAAAGAAATATAACATTTATATAGCAATTTACATTTTTTTAGTGGGAACGCTTTTTGTTAAAGGTTGAACTTCTTACAATCTCTCTTTCAATTACTTTCATTTACAAAATCCACATTATTAACGGAAAGACTGAATTTAAAGCACAAAAAAGAGTCCATTACATTCCCCCTAGAGAGTTGGGAGCAACATTCAATGCCTTAGCCCAACAACAACTTGAAATAAAAAGGAATGGTAGACAACCTTGGTACGCCACCAAAAAGGACTCGACAAGCAACAGCCATGGCACAACTGGGATGATTTTGGCCTTACAGTACAGGGAGACAGGGCTGGCAGGCATGACAACCTAAAATGTGGTTTTGAAAACAACTTTCATTTTTTTCGCCAACGCCACAATGCACAGGCGCATAAAACACACGCACACAAATCCCAACAAAAATCATAACGTTTTTAACTAAAGGCCTAAAAGTCATATCAAAATACAACAACATTACAAAAAGATAGTTGTATATATCTTCCACTTATATGGATGTAATAATTCATATATAAAAATAAATAGATTTGTCTGCATAATCTCCAGCAATAACATCCAAATGGCTTATAGTAATTTTCTGTGGAATTACATTTACAACAACAGCAAAGAAAAAACACAAAAACCTTTGACATTTGAAATTGTAGAGCCATTGGAAAAAATAAACAAAAACAACAAGTTGTTACTTGCTATAAGCGGACCTAACAAAGCCATAGCCAACCAGCCATCATCATCTCAACACCATGTAGCTGTAAAAAAACGCTCATTCGTTCATACATCCATCAGCCACAAAGTCATGCATCATTGAAATACAACTCTCTGCTGTTGTTGTTGTTTTTGTTCTCCAATGAAAATAAATCTCCCATAAGTGGTCAAGCCAACAACTTACCTACCATTCAATAATGTCAAACGAATACGGACCAAGAGAAATAAACATGTAATGACCAATTCCCTAAGAATTCCTTACAAAGTTGGGGGTAATTAGTGAGCTATAGAAAAGCAGGGCTGGATGTGCATTACTAAGACCTTAAAAGAGATTCTGTAAGGATTTCATATTCGATAGCAATTGTGGAACACATGTATTTTGGCTAAATGTGAATAACAATAAAATAAATCATACACAGCAACAATGTCCACACTTGCATATCAGGGGTGGGAATTATTAATGACACAAATAAAGGTACTGCTTTTTTAAAAATAACTTAAGGTCCAGATACATTAAAAGCTTGAAGTCATGGCTAGGCATATTAATGTCAAATTATAATGAAAAACGACGAGAGGATTTTAGTGCGGCTCTGTAATCCCTTTATGAAATGTCACAAAACATGCCTAGTCATGACTTCAAGCTTCTTATGTACTTACACCTTTATTTCCCATTCACAATATGATCCGATACATCATTGGATTCATTTAGACATTAATATATAACAGATTTAAAGCTGAAACGATTTTCTCTTAGTTTTCTTAAATTATCAACAAATTAGAGTTTAAACATTTTGGCTAATTAAATTTTTTTAATAATAATAAATGCTTAAGAAAATCGATTTTTTAGTAATCTCTTTCTCGATTTTTCTCACCTCAATCGATATTATTGTAAAAAGAAGAAGAAAGGTAGTCTCACTCTCAGCACAAGGGTTGCCACACTAATGCGTTATTGGGGCAATTTAAAACTATCATTCCAACGCAAGATGGAACCAATTGTTTTGTTTATATAAATAAATAGACCCAAAAGAGATATTTTCAACATAAAATTAAGCTTTCTTTAGGATTTAATATCAAAATCTACTAAATAGCATTTAAATATATAAAAAAACTTAAAAGTTCTACCATTTTTATATATGAGCAAAAATGCCCAAATCATAGCTTATAAATGACATGATTGTACAGTACCTTTTCCCGCAAAAGCTAAATATCTTATCTCCCAACCCTGCAATTTAAGCACATGGCACCCGGCCAACAATCAACTGTCCGTCCATTCTTTTATACATAATAGAGCTAGAATATAAAAAATCTATATTTATAGCCAATTGCCACATGCATTTATTCGCTTTGTGAATAACTTAACGTTTTATGCAAATTTTGCTATTGGTCTCAAAAAAAAAAGCAATCGAACCAGAATCCTCCATTGAAACCAGTGGAAAGTGGTGGTGGTGGTGCTAGACAACAAAATGCGATTTGTTGCCAAGCTAATGGCCTGATTCTATTACCTGCCCAGAAAAATAAAATAAAAAATAAAACAAACATGCATTTAATTGTTTCTGGTATTTGGGTTTTTTTGTTGGCATTCTTTCTTTCTTGCTGGCTTGCTTGCTGCGCTCTGGGAAATGTCAAAGTGTTATTTGTTTTGGATACAAATTTTCAACTCAATTTCATTTAGGTGAAGGGGTGGGGTGTGTCACAGCATGGACCGAGTAATTGTTTTCATTGGCTTGGCTTTAATGATTATTATTTCTTAATTTGATAAATGGATTTTTAATTGAGCCAGGAGGTTGTAACACACATTTGTGAGGCCCAAATCAGCACACTTTGTTGTTTTGTGTTACCGTTTTTTTCACTTATTTTTTTCTTTTTCTGGTAAATATGGTCAATTGCAATGAATGTCGCCCGAACAGGAAGTTAACGTAACGTAACTTTAGTTCAAACCACGTTGTTTTGTTATTTTCTTGAATATGGGCCTGTTATGGCTGGCTAGCTAGCTGGCCGCTTACATGGCAAGGTAAGGCTGGACAAGGCCTGGCCATGTGACAGCTGGCAATTTTTTAAAGTGTTTGCCATTAGAAACCTAGTTTTCAATTAAACGCCTGTAATTTTAACATCAACAAAAGATAGTAATTATATATTTAACCTACTTTGTTTGCTCTCAAAACACATAATTATTTCAATATTTTGACATTTTTCGTAACAAAATTATCTGAATAAATAAATTTGAATATTTTACAACATTTGCTAAAATATTTTAAATATTTCACTCTTTAGTTACAAAAAAAGGCGCATTATTAAAATAAAAACATGCACATGTATTTAAAACAATATCCAAAATGTCTATTTTTAAATAAATTGTATAAATTGTTCATATATATTTGTTCTCTCTTATATCAATATTGATGGTTATTGTTTTCTCTTTTCCAGCCTCGGCTTCAAGCTATGATCGTGTCAAACGTCAAGCCAGCACTGAAGAACCCAAGAAAGAAGAATCTTTCGAAAAGGAATTGTGTAAAGACAAGGATGCCGGCGAATGGTTCCGTCTGGTAGCCGGTGAAGGCGATAACTGTCGTGATGTCATTCAATGTACCTCATCGGTGAGTAAAAAGAAGAAAAAAAAAAGAAAAAAAAAAAACAAGAAAGAAGAAAAAAAAAAGAAAAAATCCCTGAGGATGACAGAAAAAATCATTTACTCTCAATGGGGGATACAAATGTGGCTATTCGTTGCTAAGAAGTTTCATAAAGAGAACATAGTTTTTTAGAGAAAATGTGGAAATGGTCAGATAAGTTGTCTTCTATAGCTTCTTTAACTCTCAATCACATACTCTCCCTCTTTCTTTTTAACATTTTCCCCATAACAATGCAAAATTGTATTAATTATTTAGAATTATGAAATCACAGCTGATTATCATATTAGCTGTCAAAATACACTATTGTGAATGATATAACAACCCGAAAGATAAACAAACAACAAACATAAGATAAAAAAAAACTTCGATATTTAGTCTGTTTTTTTATTATTTTCACATGTTAGAGACAACAACTAAGAGAGAGAGAGACAGAGGGAAAGAGAAAATATTTATTACCTCGACACAATGATGTGGCTACATTTACCACAGCTGATCGACAGTTTAGCTGTCAAAATATATTATTGACTATAATAAAAAGGTGACAACTTGACAAATAGTAAACAAATATAAACAGATTTTGACATTTAATCTGATTTGTTGTAGTCTGTCTATAAAATATCAAAAATATTTGCCCGAAGATTTGGGTATTTCGCAGCTGTTAACCAGGCAATCTGGCAAAAATAGTCAATTCTCATAAAAGAGGTTAACCGCGCAAAAACTCTAATGTAAACATACTATTACCCTTGGTTGTTTTCATGGTAGAAGAATACAGGCGGTCGCTTCGACACAGCTGATAGGACAATAAACTGTCAAACCAATTTCGGAATTGAACATTTTTAATGAAAAATTATTCAAATTTGTAAAAATTATTTAAAAAAATGCATTTCAAAACAACTTCCGATTGGTGTCGTATAAGAAAACATATAAAAATCTACTTATATTTGAAAAAAAAAATTATAATTTTTGACATACCAAGAGTGAGGGCATCGACATGTATTCTTCTACCATGATTGGTTTGACATTAAAGAATAACTTTAGAGGAGTTTTTTTCGAAACATCCAAAAATACAAATTTAACTCACTTGGTCCATAACTTTATAAATTTTAGGCTGAATTCCGAATTCCTTTTTAATCCTTATCACATATTTTTAAAATATTTAAATTTTTAATTACATTTTCTTTTGTTCTTTTTCCTAGGGTCTCCAAGCTATTCGTTGTCCAGCCGGTTTGTATTTCGATATTGAAAAACAAACTTGCGATTGGAAAGAGTCCGTCAAGAACTGCAAATCGAAGAACAAGGAACGTCGTGTCAAGCCTTTGCTCCACACCGATGAACCTTTGTGTCAGGATGGTTTCTTGGCTTGCGGTGATGGTAACTGTATTGAACGTGGCTTGTTCTGTAACGGTGAAAAGGATTGTAGCGATGGCTCCGATGAAAACACTTGTGGTAAGTTAACACTCACTCCTCCCCCACCCATTACGAATTAAGGTCAAAAGTTATAACGCACACACATACATGCAGATTACTTCAAAATATATGTAGAAGACAACAACTGAAAAACGACTTGATTTGTAATAATTTCAAGATTTTGTTTTTTTGGTCTGAATTTTCTTGATTTCAACCACAAATGCATTGGTAATGCAATGTGATAAACCGGTATGGCGGCATAGCATAGCATGGCATGGCATGGTAAATGAATATGAGACCTAAATTTTCCACACAAAAAAAGCTCAAAAACACAGACACAAAAACAATTTCATTTTTGTTTGTGCCATAATAAGAAGAAACAAAAAACGAAAAAAAAATGAAAAACAAAAGTGAAGGAAAAGTTGTTTGCATATGCAGGTTAACATTTATTCTTTAAGGCAAAGAAAAACGAGAAACACAGCCCAGATAGACATTCACAAGTGGGACTGACTGACGTTTTATGCTTATGACTTAACTTGGATTACAAAGAAAGAAGAAGAAGGAGAAGACGACGAAGAAAAATGACATGTGAAGTAAGCCTACCTCAAAAAAACAAACTGGTATTGCCAGCATACCATTCGACATCATCTTCACTTTTTCTTTTGTTTTAAGATGAAAACACATAAAAAACAAACAGACAAACATGCTGCCTCAAAAAGCTTAACAATAAATTAACCATGTCTTCAGCATGAATATTCATTATATTGATGTTAGTATCGGTAATGGCCAAATACCGGCACCACCAACAATCCCCAGCCAAAAAACAGTCAGGTTAACCTTGCTCCCAAAACCTTTAAAATACAAATTAGCACATTTTGGGTGCTACACACAGAGATACATCAACGGAACAGACAGACGCTTAAACAAAAATTACATAATATCTAAAACAAGCTGCCAGTCGGCACGATAATCAATGAGCAATACATACAGATATATGTATGGATGTATGTTGAAAACAAAACACTGAAAAAGCCATGTGAAAAAGAAAAATGAAAGTGAAATGTTCAAAAAATCAGTGAGGAATGAGGAGTTTTTTGTATTTTTGTTTAAAAGAGTGGATGGTGAGGGGATCCTTGATATATTTTTGAATACATTCCTGGCCTCTAAGATAGGATAGAAAAAAAGATTTTTAAAATTAAAAGAATGATTTTAAAAATTAAAAGAAAGAAAGAAAAATGTGACACTTTATGACAGATTACGGCTTATCGGATTTGGAAAACCCAGAGGATTTAAACTGTCAGTTCCATTGCTTATACATCAAATAAATCTTAAAAAAAGGAAGTTAACCCGACAGAAAGGCCTCACGTAAACATAGTATTAGTTCTAAACATAGATTTCTTTTTGATAAATCAGGGTTGCCAACCCTGCAGAAAATCAATTTACTGGATTTAAAAAGTTAAGTAGATTTAAATTGTCAAATGCTTCAAAAAATCCTCATAAAGCCGACAAAAATGTAAACTTACTATTAGTTTCAAACATGGATTTTCAAATTCTTTTAATAATTATTTGTTCCCATCCCTGCAGAAAATTAATATAAAATCAGGTTTTATAAAATCAAATAAATCCTCACAAAGAAGGTTAACTCGGCAAAAAAAATCAACTGTAAACATGCCAAACATGCGCTTTCAACTCTTTGTCATAATTATGGGTTTCCATCCCTGGAAATGAAGAATACAATAGTAAACGTACTATTAATATAATAATACGTTTACACTTTACTGGTTAAAAAAAAAACAGACAAAAAACTCAAATGTAAACATGCTATAACGAAGAAATGAGAATTTTATTCCTTCTCTTCCTTCCTAGAAAATACATGGTAGAAGAATACAGGTAGTTGCATCTACCCAGCTGCTGGGACAATGAACTGTCAAACCAATTTTGAAAATGAAAATATTGAATAAAAATTATTCAAATTTATAAAAATTGTTGAAAAATGCATATGATAAAAACCTCCGATTGGTGTCGTATTAGAAATCTCATAAAAATATATTTATTCAAAAAAAAAATCATTTTAAAATTTTTGACATATCAATGTTCCCAAGCGTTGATACATCCTTCTACCATGAGAAAATAGTAGAATTATTCTTAGTTTCCAATTGGCTCATATGCGGATTTTTATATAATTAATAATAATAATTTTTATTATAATATCGCCATCTAGTTTTGACATTTGTACTACTTTCTCGGTTGACGTACTTCATGGGCAAAATCGTTCTTTCTGATTTAATTTCACATTTGGCAAATTTTAGAAGAAAACATTCAAAAATGGTGACGTATGACGCTCTTAAAAATTACTAGAAAATATTTTCTGTGTAAAAAATAGTAGCATCATTGGCAGATTTTATTTGGTTAATATGCTGAGAGCTACTGCCATCTAGTTTTGACATTTTTGACTTGTTAGGAGTTAATTTCACATTTCTCTCTCTCTCTCATTCACAATTGTATCATTGAAAAAGTGCGGGAACACAGCATATGACAAACGTTTCTTAATGTAAGAATACATAAAACGCTTTTTTGACTGGTTTAAGTTATCGGAGTTATCTTCTTCGGAAAAGAACAAAGGAGTTTAGGGCCAAAATCGAACTAAGGGTGAAAATACATAAAACTATTTTTTGACTGGCTTAAGTCATCGGCTGTCTTCTTTGAAAAAGAACAATGGAGCGTAGGGCCAAAATCGAACTAAGTCAACCTAAAACTCCTTTGTTCCTCTACGAAGAAGTCAGCCGATGACTTAAGCGATTCAAAATGGCTTTTATGTACTCTCACCTTTATTATCCCAACAATTCTTCGACTTTCGCTTCAGATTTTGGTTAATATCCCAATTTTCAAATGAATCTCCTTTTGGTCTCTCTCATTTCTGTGGAATCCAGATTGGGGACCCATGTTTCAAATACAATTCTGAAAACTTCCCCCATTTAGCATTTTCATATATACGCCACTGCCTTTCCGTTCGTTTAAATCCAACTCCACAAAACAAAATTGATGATTATGATTTTCAGTGAAGCGTTCCAACAACAATTTTAACACAAAAGGAAGCCACAACGAACTTAGCAAATGATTAAACCATTTACAAGGTGTTGCGCTTGTTGGGAAAAAATTGGATTTTCACGCTTAAAATTTGTTACAGTATTTTTTTGTGTTGCTGCTGCTGTTTTTTTTAAAAATACTTTGTTTTGGAGTTTTATTTTTTCGAGGTGGCTCAATCCATCCATCCATCTACCACCGTCGAGCAATAATTGGCATTGCGAAAAAATTAATAAGTGGCCAACACCAAACAACCAACATAAGGCACTTGGCAATAAACCATAAATTATTAAACAATTGTTGAACATAAATGCTCAATTAGTTAAAAAATAATAGCGAATAACAAAACAAATATTTATTTATAACTTTAAAATGGAATGAAAAAAAAAAACAAAATACATAAGTGGTTATTAAAAATCGATAACAAAAGCCAACAAATTCCACAACAATAATAAATTTTGGAGAAAAAAAAAAATCCCCAAATAACAAATAATAAAATTTAAAACCTCTAAATCAAAAGTGATTATTAAATTAAAGTGCTTGGGTTTTTGATTTAAAACTTCCTTTTCACACAACACATCCATTGTGATTAATGGTTTGAAAATTATAGGAAATTTTTTTAAAGATGATCTGGGCAACATATGTCAGAACATTAATTTCAAATCCAATAATTTAGCTTAATTTGTGCTTAAGGTTAAAACTCCAACTTGTTGTTCAAATGATGTCATTGCTTTTTTGTTTCTTTAAACATTCAAGTGTGAACTGAAGTAAATTCCATTAAAAGCCTGGTTGGCGGGCGATTATAAAACATTTGGTTTTATTTCTTTGACAAATTTATAATCCAACAGGTTGTGTGAGTGAGCCATTTCAATTACCCCACTTCTCTACACCTTCACTTGCTGTGACATAACATTGTCTGTTTCTTTTTTTATTTTTGACAAAAGCGTGCAATGAAATTTTAAATTTACTTCACTTCTTTTTTTTTTTGTCAAAATAATCTTCATCGAAAGCCGGGAATTGCAAAGAAACCATTAAAAGTTTCATGAAAAGTAAATTTCGTGTGTCATTCCGAAACTTGTGTCGTTTAAATAACGATCTGTTTTCGCTTGTTGTTGTTATTGTGCATTTCAAAAGATCACATTATGCCAGAGATAAGAGCTTATGTATAGCCCAAACAACCTGCATGGCATAATACATTTTTTTGGAAAAGAAAACGCCACATCAAGCCATCCTTTGTTGCGGCACAAAACGAGTCACACCTGACATGATTTGCGATTTTTTTTCTTTTTGATAAGAAATCTTTTCAAGAAAACAAATTCAGTTTTTTCAAGTGGTTATTAAAAAACTCATATGAGTCATTTTGAAAATAATTATTCAGCAAAAAGTTCTTTAAGATGAATTAAAAATGATAATACGTACCTCTTTAAATAATTTATATGCAGAAGAGAACACGGGAGATCATGAAGATTATATCACAAACTATGCGCAGTGCATGTATGACAAATGGAAAATGTCAAAAGAAATGTTTTATAATTGAAGATTTTATCGCCAGAGGAATGGAGAAAAATAAATTTAGTGCAGCCTTAATGATTTGTTTTTTGGAGAATGAATTAAGAACATTTTTCATTTCATTTTTGCTTCTTTGTAGAAAATTGACGGTATTTTGTTTTTAGGAATAAAAAGTTAAAAAAAATTTCAATAATAATAGTTTTATTCGCGTCCTGGAACGCATTTTGTTGTGGATATGCACAATTAGAGACATGCACCAACATCTAGCAAAAGCGCTCACATGTGCTACACTAAATAAAAGTCGCTCCCATATGCAATAATAACTGTCATGTAATCACCATTATGGAGACTGAAAGCAAATGACTAAAAAATAATTTAAATATTAGGCCTTAAATGCCAATATTTTACAAAAAAATATAGTTTTTTGGTTGCTGACCATTTTTTAATTCCTAATAATAAGAGAACAAAATTCCAATTGAATTTTATCGTAAAATATTTCCAATTTTATATTTTTGGTGAAGAGATGACAATTATTTTATGGAAGTTATTTGCTTAAATTATATAACATTCATATTTCTTAAGTTAAAATCCTGCCTCAATATCTTCGTATTTCAAATCAATATCAACATTTCTATAAATACATCAAATACGCTTCCCAAAAAAAGCCATTTTTCTGAAAGCACCTACCAAATAATTCACAATTAAAATTGCAAAGCACGCAAATGGCAATGTAAACACCCCACACTAAACCACACGCCACAAATCCATCCATATGGCCATCGCACAACAGAGGAAATTTACAATTGATTGTAAATTACCTCCATTTTTTTTTGCGCGCAGACATAACAAAAGAAACTTGAACTTTCGCAAAAAAAAAGAAACAACCCAACAAAAGAGAAACAAAACCTGTTGAACATAACAAATTAGAGTGATTGGCAAAATACGAAATAACAATACACGCACCCAAATGCCAAACTCCAAGTAAAAGTGCAATGTTTGCAATTCATTTACATTTGCCAATGATAATGGCGATGATGGTGATGATCCAACACAAATATTTATCTTTTCAAAAGCAAATCAATAACGAAAGGAAAGGATTTTCCACTTGACCTGAATGCCGCTCTAAAAATGTCTAACACACTTGGCAAGTTAATTAACTAACCGTTGTTTGGCTAACGGCACTTGCATGGCAAAGGAAATACATTTTGTTGTTGTTTTTGTCTTTAGTTTGGTTTTCAACGCACATGCCCGCCTAACTAACTGTCACTGGTATTTGGCCGCCAAGACATGTTAGGAATTCATAATTGATAGAAATCAAAATACAATACGCACCCATTGTTTGTAAGAGAAACAAATATAAAGAGAGAGAGGGAGGGAGGGTGGTAGAGAACCTCAATTTCGTGCTGACGGGGAGTAATGTGACAATCATTTGCCTAGTTTATTTGACGTCATTATTAATTGTTTGGAAAAATCTAATGTGGGCCACACCAAAATACACACACACCACACAGAAAGAAGAGGAGAAGAGAATAACACACCTGAGAGTTCATTACTCACTCATTGACGTTCACTCACTCACGTAATGCAAATTGCATTGTCGGCAATTAACGGTGTGAATTATTTGGGTGTAACAAAACAATGTTGGTGTTGGTGGTGGGCTGGTTGCCAATGCCCTCTGTTGGTGTTGTTGTTTTGAGGATGCACTTTTATGGCTGAGTGTCTGTTCCACAATCACGAACAGTGGCGATGATGACATGAAGAAACAAAAATTATAAAAAACACACACATAAAAATACAAGAGTTCATTGGCATTTAGTTGGAAAAATGAGCTGCAGTTTCGTTTAACACATTACCAAATGGCGGCTCTACCGTATAACGGTACAAATTCCAAAAACAAATAAAAAAACATCATCCGCTCACATGTCCATTCACCATAAAACCAAGCAGCGTACCAATGGCGATGAGATGGTCATTCATGGCATGGCTTGGCTGTTTATTTTATTTTTCCTCAACAACAAAATGCAAATAAACTTAAATTAACAAAAAGTTTAATGAACTTCTGCATCTCTGCCATTTCATGTATCTTTTTTTATTGAACACAAAATGAGGCCAACTAATAAAAAAATTTAATTATTTCTTGTATTTTTCCAGACATTGAAAACGATCCCAATCGCGCTCCTCCCTGTGACCCCACTGTCTGTGTCTTGCCCGATTGTTTCTGCTCGGAAGATGGTACCGCCATTCCCGGTGATTTGCCAGCCAAGGATGTTCCCATGATGATCACCATCACCTTCGATGATGCCATCAACAACAACAACATTGAATTGTACAAGGAAATCTTCAAGGGCCGCAAGAATCCCAACGGCTGTGACATCAAGGCCACCTACTTTGTTTCCCACAAATACACCAACTACTCGGCTGTCCAAGAAACCGCCCGCAAGGGTCATGAAATCGCTGTCCACTCCATTACGTAAGTAGAAAATAGAATTTAAGGGGCAAATACCAAAAAATACCCAAAGGGGGAAAATACCCAAATATTTATTTTGGTCGGGTTTTCAAACTAAGAAATATAAAAAAACCGAAAAACATTAAATAAATAAATGGTTAGACCCTGATTTCACTCCATGGAGTCTTTCTCTTTAACATGGTAAATTTTTACATTTTGACCATATGTGGAGCCTTTTTTGCATAAATTGCGGCAGAATCGTCACGATAGTTCATTTACGACCTGAATGTACATGTCAAGCATAGCAAAGAGAACAAATGTTTAGATTTTTGTAATACATTGCATTGACATACTCTTTTTCTCTTTCACATTCTCTTTTTTTCACACAAATGCATTTTCACCGGGTCTCTTTTTGGTCGAAAATGGTTCTCTCAAAATCTCCCTTTTTATGCCCTTTTTTAATTTCCAATTTTTTTCTCTTCCTTTCTCCCCTTTCCACAGCCACAATGACGAAGAACGTTTCTGGTCCAATGCCACCGTCGATGACTGGGCCAAGGAAATGGCCGGTATGCGTATCATTGTTGAGAAATTCTCCAACATCACCGATAACTCCGTCGTCGGTGTCCGTGCTCCCTACTTGCGTGTCGGTGGTAACAACCAATTCACCATGATGGAAGAACAGGCCTTTTTGTACGATTCCACCATCACCGCTCCCTTGTCCAACCCCCCACTATGGCCATACACCATGTACTTCCGTATGCCCCATCGTTGTCATGGTAACTTGCAGAATTGCCCCACCCGTTCTCACGCTGTCTGGGAAATGGTCATGAACGAATTGGATCGTCGTGAAGATCCCACCAACGATGAATACTTGCCCGGTTGCGCTATGGTTGACTCCTGCTCCAACATTTTGACCGGTGACCAGTTCTACAATTTCTTGAACCACAACTTCGATCGCCATTACGATCAAAATCGTGCCCCACTTGGTCTGTACTTCCACGCCGCCTGGTTGAAGAACAATCCCGAATTCTTGGATGCCTTCTTGTACTGGATCGATGAAATCTTGGCCAACCACAATGATGTCTACTTCGTTACCATGACCCAGGTCATCCAATGGATGCAGAACCCACGCACCATCAGTGAAGTCAAGAACTTCGAACCCTGGAGGGAGAAGTGCAGCGTCGAAGGCAAGCCTGCCTGCTGGGTGCCCAATGCCTGCAAGTTGACCTCCAAGGAAATTCCCGGTGAAACCATCAACTTGCAGACCTGCGTAAGATGTCCCAACAACTACCCATGGGTGAATGACCCCACCGGTGATGGTTTCTTCTAAGTCAGCTATAACTTAAAAATTCAGCCAAGCCCCACTACCCTACTATAACTACTAAGCACCATAAGACATTTTCTCTAACTTAAACAACCACTAGACCTACCTTCCCAAGAAAATGTGTTTCCCGCCCTTTCCCATTCCCAGACCCTGTCGTCTCCCCGCCCAACAATCGAACACATGCACACGTCTTTCCCGTTTCTTTTCTTTAAAAAATGAGAACATTTCTCCCAAAACAATGTCATTTGAACTTTGTAAATAATTTCCAATTTTTCGAAATCTTTTGAAACATATTTTTTTAAATTTTTTAGTTTGTTTTTTATTATTATTTTTATTATTTTTTGTTTGTTACAACAATAATATAAACATATTTTTTTATTTCTCAATTTGCAAAGACTTTTTAGTTCGGCTTTTGGCCATTGCACACATCCCCCCACCAACCCAAACCAAGGGAGGTGCGGAAGTGAGTAAATGGCCCAAAGTCAATGCTGTGTTAATTTTATTAAAAAACAAAAATAACAAAAACATGATGATAACGAGAAGTGAACAAATTTTGTTTATCAAAATACTGAATAGTAGAAGAAGAAGATGATGAAGTGAAGAAGTAAAGAAGAAGAAAAATAATGGAAAATCTAAAGAAAAATCCAAAACGAGATCGTAAATATTTTTCTTTTATTAATTTCTCTTTTGTAGAATATTATGTTATTTGTAACGTACTATATTTAAAATATTTTTATATTACATACATTCATGTTGGTATTTGTATTGTTCAATTTTTGAATGTGTGCGTGTGTGTGGGTGGTAAACCTACACGTGCCCCACACACACACATACACACGCGCACATTGAACGAAAAAGTAATAAAGAGACACGATATAATTTGTAAACATTACAACAACAAAAAACAACATACAACAATAAATAAAAAACAATAAAAATTGAAAAAAAAATCAAATTGACTTCTTTTTAATGGGGTTTATTTGGGAGTTGCTGGGGATACTTTGACATAAGACAGTAAGAAGCTTATTGGCTACCACAAGGCTTAAGAAGGCACGAAAAAAAATTATCAAGAAATTTAGAAAAAAAAATGAAATTTAATAAGAATTACACCAAAAATTAAAATATTTGATTTAAAACGGGGGATGTTCTAAAAAAACAACGGGTTTCCTTGCTCCATTTTTGGCTGAGCGGAGTGCATTGCTCTCTTTACAAGAACAAACATGAGGCTTAATCAGTAATGGACAACATTGGAGAAGAGATATTTCAGGGGAAAATTTCGATTGATTTTTTTTGTAAATTTTCTTTGCAACATCAATATTCAATTGCATAGTTCACAAATCAAGATATTAAAAAAAAATAATAACAATGCGCAAAAGTTGATTTGTTGTAAACTATACAAAAAATGAGAGAAAGTGTGATATGGTAAATGCTCTAAACAATTCAAGAGAGTGAAAAGTTATAGAGAGATGAGAAAAAATTGTAGTTGAGCGAAAACAAAGTGTGAAAAAATTAAAAAGAGATTCAAATTGGATTTTTAAGGTTATTAAAGTGCACTTAAGATCAGGTCCGAAATAGCATCAAATTTTAGAATAAATTTAGATTTCTTCGACTTAGTCACCTTTGGCACGGATTATGGCCTTCAAACGGCCAACGAAACCGTCACACGTTGCCCGAATGTTGCTCTGCGATATTTTGGCCCATTCCCGGCGAAGAGCTTGGTTGAGGTGATCAACACTTTGGTATTTTTAGTGCCAACCTTGCTTTTCAAAATACTCCAGACACAATCCAGTCCAACGGATTGGTATCCGGAGATTTTGGTGGTCATTGAGCGCCGAAAATAAAGCGAGGAACTTCATTTTGTAAACATTCTTTGGTGGCGCGTGCTGAGTGCGATGGTGCTGAGTCCTGTTGGAATGTCCAAGGTCTGCGGCCAAAATGTTTGCGTGTCCATGGCTTTAATACACCCTCCAGCGATAATATTCGCCATTTATTCTGATGCCACGGTCGATTAATACGAGCGGAGAGCGAATATCGGCTGTTATGGCGGCCCACACCATCACCATCGTCGGCGCTTGACTTCTGGTGGCCTATCGAAGGTGCACATTTTCAGCTGACCTTTTTCTGACCACGATAATTTTGTTTATTTACAAACTGCTGGACAACGAATGTTTTCTCATCGGAGATCGGAGAAAACCAAATTCAGCAGTTCACCAGTTTCGGCTAAGCGAAGCAACTCTTTAGCTCTTTTGAGTCTATTTTCTTTCTGTTGCGGTGTAAGTTCTTGCCCTTTTTGGAATTTCAATGGCTTTACCCCGAGATCATTTTTCAATATTTGCCGAATGGAATATTGCGATATGTTCAGCTCACGAGCCATTTTTCGGGAACTGCGACACGTTCGCTTTCTTTGAGCGTTTTGTTTTTCAAAATCTCGAATCCTATGTGGGGGAAGTACCGAAGAAATGGTCCGATCCTCACCATCTTTATAACAGATTTTGTTTTAATGGAAATATTGAGACTACCAAGTCTGCATGGAATTGGATGATAATTTCGCGTTTTATGAGCTTCATGGATATTGAAAATGTTGACCCTTTTGTGGGGGAGGTACCGGAAGGAGTGAACCGATATATCCCATATTCACAGCAGATCTTGTGTTAGTAGTAATAATGGGATGTGTTAAATATAAAGAGAACTTGATGCTTATTTCGGATTTTATAAACGTTTTGCTTATTCAAAACGTTGACCCTTTGTGGGGGAGGTATTAGAAGGAATGGTCCGATCTCTACCAACTTTACAACATATCTTCGATTGATGGAAATATTGAGATGTGCCAAGTCTGATTGAAATTGGATGATAATTTCGCGTTTTATGAGCTTCAAAGATATTCAAAATTTCCACCCTTTGTAGGGGAGGTACGACAAGGAGTAGACCGATATATTTAATCTTCCCACCAGACCTTGGGTTAATAAAAATATGATGATGTGTATAATTTGAAAACAATCAGACATTTTTATCAAATTTAATAAGAGTTATAAATATTCAAAATTTTGACCATTTGTGGGGGAGGTACTTGATGGAGTGCACCGATATTGTCCATTTTCGTCCCTGACTTAGAACTGATGCAAATATTAGGATTTGCAAAGTTGGATCAAAATCGGATAATTGCTTCTCTTTCTGTGCAGAAAAAAAAATATTTTTTTTATTTCGAACCTTTGTGGGAGTGGTACCAGAAGGAGTAGACCGATGTATTCCACCTTTACACCAGACCTTGGGTTAATACAATTTTTGGCATGTGTGAAATTTAAAGACAATCAGACTCTCACACACCATTTTATAAGAGTGCGCCAATATTGTCCATTTTCGCACCTGACCTAGCACTGATGGAAATATTGGAATTTGCAAAGTTGGAGCAAAATTGGATTATCCTTTCTCTCTCTCTGTGCAGTAAAATAATTTCTTTGAAAATTTCGAGTTTTAGTGGGAGTGGACCGATATTGCCCATCTCCGAAACGGATTTGATCCAAAGAGACCTGGGATCTTAAACCGTTATTTCGATGAGGCATGTTTTGGATGTATCAAATGATTCATACCCTCTCTAGCCATATGGCTGAGGGTATAAAAAGTGTCATCTATTGTTGTTAGACAAATGCGGAAAAACAGTAAAATCAAATCTAGATATTCCGAATAAAAAAATGGAACATGTTTTTATGGAGGTAATGAAAAACATAGTAATATGCAAATCAATATGTTTTAAAAAAAATATATGTAAAAATCCATTATATAAAGTCGATAAGACATCAGAAAGTCGATTTTACGATCTAATTGATAGAATCTGTAATTTTATGAAACTTATGTCTACGTTAGCAACCAAAAATTTAAATATATATTTACAATATTTATAAATATATATTCAAAATGACGTCTATGAATTGTTTAATATTCAATAGCAAAATGGTTACAAACACGTGTACAATGTGGCCAACATGGGTTGGATTGGTGTCTATCAATTTGGCTTGGCTGGCTGGTTGGCTGGCTGGCTGGCTGGCTTTGGATTTCATTACCAATTTGCATATAACATTAGCGCATCATTAGCAAACCCGATCAAAATGTTGAAATTTATTGAAGAAAAAAAAACTGAAATAATACTAAAACCTGAATGAACATCAAATCTGTGAGTGTGTAACGTCAAAAGTAAATTTCGAATGCGGTTAAGTCTATTTTTAATGCGGGCATGGCTAAAATAAAATAACCACAAAATTTGAAGTTTTTCTACTTCTTCGAGCGTCTGCATGTTTTTTTTTTTTTTTTTGGCTTTGAGGGACCATTAAAATCGAATCCTATTCATTTGATGGGCAACCAGTTTGATTTCACACATAATGGCCCAGCGCCACAGACCCACGGACACAAAATTTCAAATATGCAAATGTTGAGATTAAATGTAAAAATTATTCAATTCAATTCAATTTGAATCGAATCAAATGAAAATGAAACTGAAACAGAAATCAAAATCAAATGAATGGCCGGAGTCGAAATGAAACCGAAACCTATTATAAAACAGGTATTGTAGCTTTTTTTATGAAACCCACAGAAAAGCCCAGAGGGGCAGGTTTCCACACTAACCTCAAAAGCCATTGTTTGGCCTAAAATATTTCCATTTCCATTTTCAAACCAAAACGGCACTCCCGACGATAATAAGCTTCTCTATTTTTAAGTGTTAAACAATTATTTTCTAATTTATTTAAATCAATATTCTAAGAACTCTCACACACACGCACGCACACACACACCCATGGTGTTGATGTTTTGGCAAGTTTTTGGCCCAAACACGATTACACACATAAACTAAAAAAACCAAAAACAAAAAAAGTGGCTTTAAAAATATTTCGAATAAACTGGCTTTTTAGCCACAAAATTTGCATGAAACATACATTCAAACAAATACACATGCATGTTCATGCTGGCAGTTAAGTGCCAAATAAAACACACAACCAAAATATTCAAAATAACTTCAAAAAAATATGCAAAAATTCCAGCTAGATTTTAATATGAATTTTGACATTTTGCGTAAGTAAATGTCAAATAATTTCTCAAAAAATCTTAGCAAACAAGGAAATATCGCGACTTCAGACGTCAACCGGCTGCTGATAACCAGATATTCTCTTTGATGACGTACTTACAGTGTCCATTCCGCCAGATTTGAATTGTGTAAATCAGCATTGATAGCTACAGCTACATCTAACTGCCGCTGCTGGCGGCACAAAAAGATCAGCAGTTTTGCAAATCTACGGCTCTGATCTACTCATATGGGCATGGTAGGTTGGTTGCTTGGCTAACTTACGGGTTGGGTGAAGTGTTAAAAACAAGGTTATCATCTATTTTATCACAAAGAAATACCAACATGGCATGTTTCTGCTGTTTTTGCTTTAATGTTTCATTTACTGGATGTCATTGATGTTGTTAAATATTGACTTGGAAACTATTTCCTACAGCAACACCCTCCATATTTGAGTAAAATTAAAATGATAAAAGTTGAGCTAGGGGAACATGTTTTAGAACATAGTTTTCTTTTGAGTCATTGAAAATGGTCCCGTGTTTTTTTTTCATTATATACGAGGTCTGTTCATAAGAAAATATAAAGCTTAACAATAAGACCAAAACTCAATTTTTTAATATTTTTTTTTTGTTTCAAAATTTTAATTCATTTTTTTTCAATTTCTCAATTTTCAATTTTTTTTTTAATTTCAATTCAATTTATTTTCAATTTCAATTTAATTTTTTTTTCAATTTTTTGGTCTCAAAAGCTACATTATTTCCTAAATTTTTAACTCAGCCTCTATGTGGCTCGTTACTCATTTAGAAGAGAGAGAGAGAGAGTTTGATCCGGCCAAAACGTGCTTCGTCAAAATAACGGTTGTAGAATCTAGATCTCGTTTCGGGACATTTGGAATCGATT